TACTTTGGCTTTACTCGTTTTCGAGATTATTTTTCTTTGGACTCTGAACTTGGATTCTGGACAATTGTTTTCGCCTCAATTACATGTTCTTAGTTCTTTCTATTTTTGTCCCTTATTTTTCCTTGGATTTTGGTTTGTTCATTTACAAGCCAAAACACCTAAGGTTTTTCCAGACGAGTATAATTACATATAATTACATATATATATATATATATATATATATATATATATATATATATATATATATATATATATATGTGTGTGTGTGTGTGTGTGTGTGTTTGTGTTTGTGTGTTTGATTTTACTATATTAATACGACAAATGTTTATGATTTCAAACATTGTTTTTAGTAGATACTCATATTTGAGTAGACACTCAGTTTATATATTAAACAATATATTTGTTGCGTTTGTTTGGTCAGAATATTAGATAAATCTTAGAATTCAATAACTTCTTAATAATTTCTCTCGAGCCGGTAGACGAAAATAAATATATATACTGTTTAATAAACAGATCGTTTGCATTTAATTTATATATATATATATATATATATATATATATATATATATATATATATATATATATATATATATATTTAATTCCTATGTATATATATATGTGTGAGTGTGTATATGTGTGTGTTTGCGTGCGTGTGTGTAATGGGAGAGTTTAAGAGAGGGAGCGTGAAAAAGAAAAGAAAAAGAGAGATAATATTAAAGCGAGCCTATTTACAACGCACTTATTTCCTTTCCTTCAGTTTGGCGATGCGCGTAATGAAGAAATCTACAGGAAATCTTATTTGTCCTTAATGATCAATGATTTCATCCGACCCTAATACTGTTAGCAGATCGTCTTGCACGCAAATTCCTGGTGCCAAAATGCAATCAGCCGCGAAATATGGTTGCAGGCCCAGCACTGACACAGTGTTGATCTGTCCGAATGTAGGAATCATCTTTCTTCGCTTAGTGGTTACAACTTGATGGCGGTTCTACTCGGTGAATTTCCTTGGTTTTGGTTTGACTGCTTACTAAAAGTATTTCTTTATTTTTCCTTTTGAAATGTACTCTTTGCGTTCATTATCTCCCCTTTCTAATGTAAGATATCAATATAAGGGAATGCACACACATACACACACACACACACACACACACATATATATATATATATATATGTATGTATGTATATATATAAAGATATCAATATATTAAAATACTAAGAAAGAACAGTGAGATTTATCATCCAGTGTTCTCAGGAATTATTTTTGCAAAAACAGTGCTTGATTCAAACAATAGAGCAAAATATAATTATTTTCTTTTTTAACTATCCTAACATCGCTTGACAATGGAACGAGACTATGAATTTTAATTTTAATATTTTTAATTAAATTTATAAATTTAGTTTAAGTTTTGAAACATGGAAATTTCTGTGTAGATATGGAATCATATTTAAAAAAATATGATATTATATACATATTAATTATATATATATATATATATATATATATATATATATATATATATATATATATATATCATAGGATAAGGAACAAATAGCCGTTAGCTAGATCCAGTGACAAGACGCAAACAGTGTGAGTTCAATATCTGGTTAAGGCTTTGGAGAACTTGGAAAGAGGAATTAAATAAAGATAACGATTAAGTGATAGCCATTAAACATGGTACGTGGAATTAGAACAGTCTACCCCAGCGAGCGAAATAAAGAGTTCAGTTCGAAATTCCAACCACCTGAAGAAGGCCGGAGCGTACAACGGCCGACAGGTTGTGATAAATATGAGGATGATATTCCGAGCAATGTAAATAGTGTAGATTTATAGATTTAAATATATTTTGCTAACGTTTCTTAATTTTTTCTCATCTTATCACATCCCTACATCTATTTCAGTTTGCTAATATCTATCTACCTATCTATCTGGACATATCTATATATGTCTGTACATTGCATTTACATATTATAAGGGGAAAAGAAAAAAAAGGAACGAAAGACAGAGAATTCAATATAAGTTATTTTTCGGGGGAGGGATAGAGAATTAGGGATAGCCATAGGGAAGGGGAGAAGGAAATAGAAGGGGAAGGGAAATAAAGAAAAGAGAGAATTAAGAATAGTCGACAAGTTGACCCAGAAAAGACATTTTTCCCGGGACTTGACGAGTTAAAAAATAGGCTGGGGGGAAGTGAGTGATCATATTCAAAATCGATACAGAAATTTGTCTAGTCATTTGAAGCAGCGAAACCATCATCATCGCATTATAACCGTCACAATTAGAAATTGATGATGATGATAATAATAATAATAATAATACTCTTTGTTTACTAAACAAAAAATCAGAGATAATCTCCAAATGTAGGCATGAGAACAAGTCATGAGAACAAGTACCTATTATCCTAATTCATACCAAACGGATAAAATAGACAAACCACCAACAATCACAATTTAATTTCAAAATACCATCACAATAATTGCATCTATCGTTATTATCATTGCACCACCATTAGTAATCACTTTTACCACTTTACAATAACTATTAACTAATAATATTATTATTACCACCAACACCCAGCACCATCACTTACACATCACAACTACTATTAACATATAAATCCACTATAATCATTAACGTATATTACTCCCCCAGCAGATTTAATACCTTAAAACAATAAGATCAGATATAATTTCTATATGTAACCATGAGAACAAACACCCATTACTAGGATTCATAATAAATAAAAATAAACAAATAAATATAGAAAATAAAATAAAATAAAACACCAACAACCACTCTTTAGTTCAATAATTACACCACAATAATTACATTAATAGGTTTTTATTATTCTCCCACCAAAATTACTAATCATTACTAACAATTTACAATAAATATTAACCACTTATATTATTATTGCCACCAACCCCCTTACACATTACTATCACACCACATCTACCATTACCATATAATCCTGCCATAATTATTAACGTAAACCTCCCCGTCCCCCAGCATATTTAATACCACCATAAAAATAACCAACAAGGATTACAAACTGAAATTTCTACCAGTCACATATATGCAGTCATAAAAAAAACAAGGAAATAACCAGCTTTAATATAATAACAATAATATTTTTGTAAATTAAAAATTAAAAAATATAGCAATCTTCAATTATCATAATTTTACACAGAATACCTATTATCAGGATTTATACCAAAATAAATTAATACATATAACAAAATAAAATAAAACACTAACAACCACTTTTTAGTTCAAGCTACCTACAATAACTACATTTATGGTTTTATCATTCTCCCACCACCGTTACTAATCATTTCTACCAATTTACAATAACTATTAGCTAATTATATTATCATTGTCCCCAATCCCTTGCAACATTACTATCACATCATATCATATAGACCCGCTATAATTATTAAATTAAACTACCCTCTCACCCAGCATATTAAATATTAAACATCACCATATAAAATAACCAATAAGGATTACAAATTTCTACCTGTTACATATACACAGTCATCAAAAACGAACAAATAACCAGCTTTAAATATAACAAATAACCCCCCTTTTTATTTTAATTTAAAAATAAATATAAATAATAATAATTTTTACGAATCATAATTTTACACAAACCCTACCACACGTATATACATACATGCGAAGAAATTTAATCACATGAAAAATAAAAATTTGACATGTATACATTCACGAAAAAATCTTCGCTACACTCCCAATCTTTGAATTTCAACATACAAATGCGTATGTATAAACACAACACCACCCGTATACATACATATGTCATATCCGAAACTGCCCACATATGTTTATACATGCATGAGTCCCGACGGACGACCAAGTATGTATATGTGTCTGCATACATCGATGTTTGCGTCAGTACGATGACAAAACGATGAAATTCCTCCCACCACTTCCATAATAACACCAATACACGCAATCTACATAAACCCAAAATTTTTAAAAATTAATCACTTTGTCTGACAATCGCTAAAGCGTGAAACCCAGGATCACAAACTCACATCTATCCAACCAAATATGTTAGCTCTATCTCTGATATTGAGCGCTTTCTAATAAGTACCGCGCATATAATATATAAATAATTATAAATATATATATATTTATTTATATTTATATACACAAACTTTTCACACACACACACACACACACACACACACACACACATATATATATATATATATATATATATATATATATATATATATATTATATATATATATTTATTTTCGCTATATATCGGTTTCCATTCGTGACTCATCGATTTCTAATCAAGCGGCCAATCATGCAATTTTGTAAATAAACAAAGAAAAATAAAATAAAATCAGTTTTATTTATGTAGCAAAATAAACACGTGAAGGGACAATTTTTGAGCGTGCAATAGAACACAATGCGGAGCTAAAACCATGGAAATCGAGATGGAGAAATATCATTCAGAAATTTTAGAATGCTTTATAAAATAAACAGGAACGTAGTGTAAAAATATAATGCGAACAACGAACATATAATTTTATAACGGACAAATAAACATTCCTCTATCTATTACTGTCTCTTTATATATATATATATATATATATATATATATATATATATATATATATATATATATATATATATATATATATTTAGTTTATGAAAAACTAGGTAATCTGTATGGGTAAACCCAAGGAGGATAAAATCCAGAGAGCTCAATGTAAATCCAGAGCAAATAATTTAAACAAAAACAGACAACTTTAAGGTTCCATGTAATAAATTATTTCACCACAGCCCTTTTAAAATAGATAGATAAATAGATAATTTGTTTAAAATATGACAGAGGTAGGAAGCCTCACAATATATATATATATATATATATATATATATATATATATATATATATAGCTTTCTAATTATCTATCTATCTCTCTATATATCTATGTCTCAGTGTGTACATATCTATTTATGTCAGTCGGTTCATTATCTATCTATATAACTACCTAACTAAATCTCATCATACATCTATCTATCTATCTATCTATCTATCTATCTATGTCTCTTTGTGTACATATCTATCTATCTATCTATTCATTATTCATCTATATAACTAGCTAGCTGTGACGTTCTAACCTTTTGCTGATTCGGATGGAATCTGGTTAGATTCGGCATCAGCCTTGTCGTTCCCAGCTCGCCTCCAACGTCTGGTTACCGAAGTAACTGCTTTGATTTCTAGTCTAACCTACCCACGTGGTGATTTGATCTTAGGTAGACGAAATCAATCAGTCGCCGGGCCGTAATACAAGTCGAGTCCGGACAGGGGTAATACCGCACAAGTATTTGTAAAATAAAATAAATAACAACTCGAAATGTTCAAATGTGTTTAAAAAAAGGATAACAATATTTTATATTTGGTTGCTGAATACAGGACTGCGTCTTCCTCGCAACCCGCTTATATGGATTCGTGACACTTTGTGTTTGTTAGGCGAGTCTTAACATCTTAAGCTGATTTTCTTTAAGAAACTGGTTCTTAGTGTATCTTCAGGCGATATTCGTAAAACTTGTTTTGGTGGTATGAGTCTAAGTCGTTTTTCAAAAATAAATTGTTCTTGATTAGAATTTGAGGTCGTGATTGCGTGGATCTTCCAGTCAGCTTTCTTCGAGGCGGGTCTCAGAGCTCACAGTTCAACTGCTTGCCTGTCTCTTCAAACCCATCTGCCGTCCACTCGCTGCGAGTCGCAGCGAGTGGACGGCAGATGCTTATATGGACGCCGGCAGATGCTTATATGGACGCCGACCAAAACCGGGGTGGGCCTGTCGATGTCTGAGGTTCCTTGATAATTCTAAATCCGCATTAAGGATTCTCTTTGTTTTCGGTCAGGAAAATTTATTGCTTTCCATTTTTGGAAGTCCTTAATTTCTAGTTTAAGGGAGTCGTCCTCTCAAATTCTTCCTTTCTCATATTGGTATCTCACACCAATCCCCCTTCAGCCAATGAACGCTCAGCGGCGTAGGTGTTTGCTCAAAAGAAAAAAATTATCTTCCTTTTCCTTTTCTTTTCTTTCTTTTCTTCTTCCCGACAACAAACCCTTACGACTCTTATCTTAACCGAACGCCGTCTGGAACTCGTCAACGAGACCCTCGCCAAACAAGCACTGAGGCTGGCCAATGATCTTCCGTACCCTGTCGCCAATTATCCGTTCCGATAAAATAATTTTTCTATCATGGCCAGCTCTGACACAAAACAGGTGCTCTTCTCAAATGACATCTCCGCAGATAGTTAATGGTTCAATCTTTCCTTCTTTGTAATCTGTGGGTGGTCGAGCTGACATTTTTCCCGGTCAGAGCGCTTGACCTGATTATCATCTTCTTCCAGTTTCTGTTTCGTAGGCCACTTGACCAATTTGAAATTTTCATTATTGCCATGGACATATTGCTATCTTCTTTCGCCGCGTCGTAACATAAATCAAATTAAATACGGTATCTTACTTTCTTCGCTAATGAAAATAAAATCTTTACCACTTTTCTTTATTAGAAAAAATAACATCGCTCAGTGTCTTTTCGTGATATCTTCTTATCACCTAAATTAATTCTCGCCTTTTTTTTTCACGCAACCCTAAATAGTGTCACATAGCTAAACCTCATGATACATCTATCTATCTATCTATCTATGCTTACGGCCACATCACGTTGAAACACCGAATCCTGGTCACTACTTAGATTGGTGACTGCCTAGAAATATCAAGGGCTCAAGAACGAATATATTATTTTTATCCCCTCAGAAGTAAATATTCCTCTAGCTATCTAAAGTAATTTTGTTCCTCTTCACTCAAGTTTTCATAGAAGTTTAGCCATCTTGTTACCATTTGTCGTAAGAAACACTGAAAAACATTTGAGTTTTTCAACTAAAAAGATATTAAAATTGTTTTGCGTCGCCATCAATGTCTTCTTAAATGATCAATAGTGAGAGGAAAAGGTCATTCGCGTTTTCTGCAATGATACCGACATACATACACTGGCTTCCGTCTTCAAAGTCCATTCAAGAACCATCAAGACAACGATAAGTAAGTTTCAAGAAGAGAGAACTGTAGAGAAGGAAACTGGATCAGGATGTCACAAGAGCAATAAGATTTATCATTTCAACTAAAGATATCAATTTCAGCTAAAGATATCAATTAGGAAAAAAGATCCAACTTGTAAGATGTTTGACACGTGAGTGAGGAAATTCAGCTATGATAGTCGAAAGAACCGTGAAAAAAATAATTCAAAATAAAATAGTACGGGAAACGTGTGAGGGAACTTGATACTCCAGGAAAGAATGTCAGAAATTTAGAGAGGACGAAGATCATCTTGAATAAGTTGGAAAATACTCGTCCGGAAACCTTCGGTGTCTTGATTTGCGAATAATCAAACCAATACCAAAGGGAAAAAAAAGGTATAAAAAAGAAAGAACCAAGAACATGTACGTTTGTCGAAAATAATTGTCTAGCATGCAAGTCCAAAGCCCAAAGGAAAAAAAAACGATACGAGTACGCAAAATAACTAAATAAAGTGCTCAATACAGTGAGTAGCGCAGACCTAGTTAAACCTAGAGAGCCAGACAAGCCTACCAAAGTTTCACCTAAGCGGATCCTCAGTGCAGGCTGGCTAAAAAGGTGAAAAAGAACGGAAAATATATAGTCAATAAACAAAAATTCATAACCACTTGAAAAACAAAAACAAAAAACAAAAAAAAAACAAAAAACAAAACAAAACAAACCAAAACAAAACAAAACCAAAAAAAACAAACTTACATTATTTACTTCCAAAATGAGCTACCGATCCTTGGCTATGATTAATTAATGATAAACATGTAATTTTCGTTTATGATCGATCTCACTACGACACTTCTATTAAGCTCATAGAGGTTTTATACATTCTTATTGCTCAAAGTAGTGCGCAGTAGTGTAATAAAGACATCAGAGATATCCAGTAAGATATCTTTAATCATTTGTAAGGTACATCGATTCAAATCTTAATTTAACAATTCGTTAATTTTGCTTTCACACGATTTGGATAATTTTGCTGTTGCATCTGGTATATATATATATATATATATATATATATATATATATATATATATATATATATATATATTAAGTTTGTATTTGGGAAGCAATCCTCTTTTATATATGTTTCATTTAATTTATTTCTTTCCTAGATATAGAGTGTGTAAAAACGGTGCAAACGATCTTGTGATCCGAGCGCTATCTCGGAAGTTATTTTCTTTTACTATGTTTATTTTTTGTTTTCTTTTATATATATATATATATATAGGGATGGGCGGATTTTAAATTTACGAACATGATCAACACGTTGTGGCCGTATTGATAGTTGATACTATGGTGTGGCATGAAGTATTTTTTTTGTTATTTTTTTGTTATCCAGTATTTTTATCTATTTTTATGCATGTGGGTAAGAGTATTCTTGTTGTATTCCCGAAAAGTATTTTGCGGTTGGTTGCTCACTGTAATATGTTTAAATGGCAGATCTAAGGCATGTTTTCATGATAAGCATGTTGTGGTTATATATATATATATATATATATATATATATATATATATATATATATGTAAGAATGTAATATCCTAAAATAAATAATATTTCACTAATTTGTATTGAGCCATCATTTAAATTAAATGTTACAAATGTTGTACTCTATTCGTTCTCATCTGAATATAATATATATATATATATATATATATATATATATATATATCTATATCTTTGTATATTTGAATGATAACTCTACAATACACAACGCGTCCAACAGCTGATACACTAAGCGTAGGCATTGACCAAAGCGCTGTTTAACTCAGGCGGCCATGTTCACGTCACTGATGCAAATGGCGGATAAGTGATATTGTGTTTTACAATAACATACGATACGTAGCAGTACTATAAAAAAAAAAACAACCTGGTGTGATGTGTAATCCGTTAGGTTCCGGTGGAGGAGTATGCTTGAAAAGCTGATACATAAAGGAATTGACGGAAGGACACCACCAGGAGTGACGTCTGCTGTTTAATTTGACTCAACACAGAAAAAAATCACTTGATCCAGACACGGATATAATTGACAGTGTGGCAAGATGTGTAGAAGATGCGCGTTTTCAACAAGGAATGTTTCGAATACCGCGCATAGAGTACCGTAAATTGCACCGTACAAATCGAGTTTTCAAGCCTAAAATTAGGGTTCGACTTATATGGCGGGTATAAAATGTAAATCATTATAACTGAGTTATAAACAAGTCAGACATCACGCCTAACAATTACAGCACACCACTTAACGTACCCCCAGCAGTCTGGAACAAACATATCCCACTACATATTGTGTTTGGTGAACATATTTGTCATATTAACATCGAAATAAATATAAAATAAAATAGTAACACAAATTCAGTATACTATTATAGTAAAACTAAATTTTCAATTCATTTGGTGAACTGAAAATAAACCTCTTACAAGAAATCAAATAGGTAGATGTAACCGCCACTTCTAATGTAACAGTTTCTTTTCTCGCACCTCACACCTGTGGAAATCCCTTCCGTTTATTTGCTTCTCTGATAACTACAATCTTCAAATAATCCATCTTCTGATTTCTTGAATACTTTTTAAGTTTTATCTTTTCCCCAATACCCCCTACACACAGTATCTTCTCTCATTTTCACCCGTCTTTTCTTGGGGTGAAATAATCAAAAAAGAAAAGAAAAAACAGAAATAATAAATAATGATAATAAAAACAAATTTTGTATGTTTGGAAGGGACTAACAATGGAAGAAATTAATGCACCAGGGATTTTTGAAGCAATTGTAACAATGAGTGCATACCCTTATCGTACCCCCAGCAGGCTGGAACAAACATATCCCACTATATATTGTGTTTGGTGAACATATTTGTCATATTAACATCGAAATTAATATAAAATAATAAAATAGTTACACAAATTCAGTATACTATTACCGTTACATCACCCATCGCGTCCAACCGCTGATACACTAAGTGTAAGCACAGACCGAAGCGCCGTTTAACTCCGACGGCCATGTTTACATCACTGATGCAAATGGCGGATCAGTTA